AACTTACTGGTGAGACTTTTTTTTTTGGTGTTTCACTGCTGGACCCCTGATCCATCAGTTGTTGGACTTGTTGGTTGCACAGACAATTAAGGAATGAACAAAGGTGCTATGCCAGAACCTGGTGAGGTAACAGTTGCCATCCCCTCCTCCTTAGTTTGACTGATCAGAAGATGCAAGGTTTTAAATATCTTTGCAACATGGCATTAGACATGGGATCTTTTTTTATCCCAGTTATCCACATCTAGGGTGTATCTCTGCAGTAACCTCTGGCTCAAATATTGGTTAGCACACCATGCTTCTAAGAAATCCTTCGCAGACCTACCTTTTGTGGGTGATTGCCTCTTTCAAATGATGCTGGAAGAGACCATCAAAAATGTCACCATGGTACATATACCTTTTTACCCTAGTGACTTATAGGTGCAATTTGTGTTCACAATTCTCTGACAGAGTGCTTCAAATCCTTTTATAAAGTCAGCTCCAAAACACTCCTGTCAAAGTAAGTCTACCAAGCCAATCAACAAGTTCAACACAGCATGAAAGTTAGCCCCCACATTGTTCTCACAAGTTGGTGGATTTATGGCTGTTTCCAAAATACATGTTTCAGATTGATGAGTTCACAAGATGGTATCCAGAGGATACAAAATGGTTAATTACAGCCCCGGAACACTTCTTCACCTTTTGTCTACCTTTCCTAAGATTGGCAGATCTGTGAAGTGAAAAGGAAGAGGTTTGCTTCGTCCTAGCCTAAAGTGTGTCTTTTTGAAAGTTTGGCATTATTGCACAGAGTGGATTTGCTTGGTTGCAGTCTCTCCCCATTCAGGGAACTTCCTGGCTTCCATGGATATTAAGGACGCATACCAACCAATGTGGTCTGGCATCTACTTTGCTTGTATTTGCCAAGGTCTCTGGTACAAGTCCTGACGCATTTATAGTTGTGGCATACTTGCACTATCTGTTACCATGAGCGGAGTATTGTTAGGAGTTGGTCTATTGACGCTTAACTTTGTGATTGACTTCATGTGTCTTCCGAACCTCTAGAAGCCAACTCTCTTTCCTACATGGCAGCAAAAAACTCTAGAAATTGCAGAATTCTTTTAAACTGCTTTGGACTCATAGTAGGTACTCCCTGCATTTTGCATGAAGGTTCTTTCGAGGTGGTCCAATTGGCGCAACATGATTACAGAGTTCTTCACACAGGACTTGGCACATGGTTCTTCTGTTCTTGGTGTCTACAAGATCTTTCTGACCGGCTTCTAAGTTGCTAGCTTGAAGAGCATGGTTGTTTAAGCCTAGATGTTGAAAGACAGGGACTTAGGTGAGTTGATCGTTTCAACTATGTTGGAGGCACATAACTTGATTTCATTATACGTCTATGTTAGGACCTAGAAGGGCAACATTGGTGTGAGTTCCTGAGGGGTTCACCACTGTTGCTTTTCAGTTAGCAGGATCTAATAGGTTTCTCTTCCCGTGTTGAATTTTGGCTTGACAAAATGTAAAACGGATCTTGTCGGTATATTCCAATCTGTCCAAAACTAATAATTGTTCTTTTCGGCGTGTTTAAATCACTTTCTGGTTTGTAATGTTTTATGGTGACTGCAGTGGTAAGATATCCTCCTTTCCAAAGTCTCCTTCAATGACAGTACAGCTATAGACATTAGAAAGTCGACCATGGAAGTCTATCTTCTCCACTTGTGTTCTCTATAGTTTAAAAAAGAATATTGTGCAGTGAGAAATATGAAGGCTGCCGTTGCTGACTTCTCTTTGTGAAATCGGTATACAATTAATTACTTAATCATAATTGGACACTAAAACAAGTTTTGTTATCTTGGCTGTTTACCTAAATAAATTCAAGTTACAGTTAAAATAAAGAATCTGAGCTTAAAGTGCAGTCTCTAAGCTGTATGTTGAGGGTATACACATCCATATTGGAGGAAGGGTTTAGGAATTACAGTTAGAACTACATCTCTTTAATATATAGTCCCCATTCTTTTCAAGGGACTAAAAGTAATTCGACAATTGACTCAAAAGCTGTTTCATAGAACGGTGTGGGCTATTCCTTTGTTGTTTCATCATCAATTAAGCAGGTAAATGGTCTGGAGTAGATTCCAGTTAAAATAATCCATCAGAGAGATAGCAGGAACATTTAGAGTGGCCAAATCAACAGTTTGGTACACTCTGAGAAAATAGAATGCACTGGTGAGGTCTTCAACACAAAAAGGCCCGTTGTTCCATAGCAAACAGCAGTGGTGGATGATCGTTGAATCCATTCCATGTTAATAGAAAAACTCCTTTACAACATACAGCCAAGTGAAGAACACTCTCCAGGAGGTAGGCATATCCTTATCCAAGTCCACCATAAAGAAAAGACTTCACAAGAGCAAATACAGAGGGTCAACCACAAGGTGCAAACCACTCGTAAGCCTCAACAATATTTGACTTTGCCAAAAGTATCTAAAAAGCCAGCCTGGTTCTGTAACAGCATTCTTTGGAGAGATGAAGCTAAGATCCACCTGTACCATAATGATGGGAAGAAAAAAGTATGGAGAAGGCTTGGAACGGCTCATGATCTGAAGCGTACCACCGCCTCGGTAAAACAGTGGAGGCAGTGTGCATACATGGCTTCCTAAGGCACTGGGTCACTAGTGTTTATTTATGATGTGACAGAAGCAGTCGGATGGATTCTGAAGTATATAGAGAAATATTGTCTGCTAAGATTCAGCAAAGTTGATTAGACAGCTCTTCACTTTACAGATGGACAATGACCCAACACATACTGTGAAAGCAACCAAGGAGTTTAAGGCAAACAAGTGGAATATTTTGCAATGACTGAGTCATTCACCTGATTGAGCTTGCATTTCACTTGCTGAGGACAAAACGTAAACTGGACCTTTACATTCAAAAATCGAATTCTACCAATGCATTCCTCTTTGTATGATATTAATAATAACATAGACATGTCAGGTGTAAAATGCTGTGATTTTGAAATACATACACTTGCAGAGCATTCACTTCCTGCTCTGTAGGGGAAAATTAATTTAGTTTGGCAAAGCAATGCACACTGGGATTGCCCTGTTATCAGCAGAGCATTGCTGGGAAATCTCATGTGTAATCTTATGAGATCTCAGAAAGGCATTTTCCTCCCTTGAGATGATGTGCATGATCACATGTCCTGGTCACATGTCCTGGTCACTTGTGCCAGAAATCCAGGAAATAATAGGAGAGCTAGTAATCTGCTCTTAGTAAACATGACCACTCTCAGAAGACTGGGGAAGAAAAGAGAAATAGGGTATGCAAAGAATACAAAGCCTGCAATTATCTATAAGTATGTGTTTGTAGATTGTCATTACTAAACATTTCTAAAGGTCTGTTTGTTGGTATTTTAACCCCTTAAGGACGCTTTTGCTGCCAAGGCCATTTTTTGTTTTTTTGTACACGTTATAATCCACATTTTAGGCCTGAAAATTACTTCAAACCCCCAAACATTATATATTTTTTTGAAAGCCAAGACCCTGTAGAAATAAATAGCGGCAGTTGCAAATCTTTATGTTGCGCGATATAAGCACAAGTCTTTATCAAACTCAAACTTTGTAAAAAATGCACTCAGGTTAAATTTAGTGCCCCAAAACACAATATAATACCCATTTCTGTTTTGTAAAATATAAAAGATGAGGTTACGACATGTAAGTAGATACCCAACATGCCCAGGTTAAATATAAAATGTGTAAAAAAAAAAAAGCACAACCCCTCCATCCCCCCACATAACATACACATATCGTGGTGTACGCCATGCACATGCGCTGCAGTGAGTTGTTAGAACGCATCGCAGTCCATGATTTTTTTTCTTTATTTTTTTTCTTTAAAAAAAAACGAAGCTAACTGTGGCAGCGCATGGCAAAGCTTTGTGACGCATTGCCGTGCGTTGTGATACCTTGTGTTGCAATTAAATATACGCCGGTATCATTTTATCACAACACCAACACAGCGTAAGAACAATTTTTAACATAAGTCGCTTATTTACAGTTTTGCATACCTTCATTTTTTTTACTTTTCGCAAAAAGGCGCAATTACAAATTTGCTAATATTTGTTATTTATTAACTCAATACAGTTTTATCTTTCAGATTTAGTCAGAAAATATTTTTTTGTGTACGGATACTGATTTTAGTGTGTTTTATCAATTGAATTGTGTATTTTTATCGATTTAATATTAATTTGAGAAACATTTGCGCAATTATCGCACAGCCTACACATTTAGTATCACCATCTTTTTATTCTACCGGGCCTGCGCTTTCAGAAAATATATGGTTTGGGGGGTCTTTTACAAACGCTAGCAACCCAGCAGTTGAAAATCAAATAGATGGGAAAAATGGCTTGGCCAGCTGAATTGTAAAATGTTTCGGAGGGCTTGGCAGCGAAAGGGTTAAATAAGGGGACTGTGTATAAAAATGGTTGCAATTCCTAAACATTTCATATGACTTTTTTTTGTTCAACCCCTTGAATCAAAAAAAAAAGTCTCTACTTAAATTGCACCTCGTTTCATTTCAAATCCATTGTGGAGGCTTAGAGACAGAATTATGAAACTTTTGTCCTAGTCAGATTTATTTCCGGACCTAACTGTGTGACTTACTGTCCCACTGTTTCAATGACTTCAATATTTAAGTCAACAAACCCTCAGTAAGTATGCATATCTGGGGTTTGTCTTCACTCTTACTTGACTGCCTCAATCAGTGGCTTTTAAAGTAACTTCTGATGCAACTAGATCAGCATGGCAGCCAGGCAGTTAGCATTTTAAGCAGGACACTTGCAATGGTAACCTATTTATTTAGCTGTTTACTGTTTTTCTGTAAGTGGTGAATGTGCTAACGGGAGTTATGTGGCATAACATTGACTGAAGCAGGTTGGTAGACTAACTAATTCAGGTGGGCAGATGTAGTTGCTAGTGAGTAAGAGATACATCTTGTCTATATAAGCTGTCTAAAAACTTACATTTTTGATTTTGCAGACATAAGCAAAGGATGCATTTTGCATTGATGAGTATACTTCAGGATTCTCAAAACAACTTAAAAATATTTAAGGTATATGCTTCAATTTCTGTCTGGTAAGCCACAGATTAAATTATTTTTTTATCTCATTGATTGTGTTATCTGTTAAGATCTTGTAACATGGCTTTTATGCCTTTAATGTATAATTCTGAAAATATGATATGTTCATCAATCCATCTCTTCTTTCAGAATGGCACATTAATTTATGGTTGTCGGGATGACCAAGAATATCTCTCAGACTTAAATGAGCTTGCCCATCACCTGAAGCCATTTTTCTTCCCAGCAAATGGACTGGTTGCGGGACCTCAGTGCATGAAAATCATCCTAAAAGAACTTGTACATGTACTGACAAATACACTGCTGAGCACTAGTGCTGACACTGGAAGAGCAGGGAACATTACATCTGTTCCAGTGTCACAGACTAGGAATTACTGTGAAGCCAGCTGCTTCTGTACAGAGTTCCTCAGAAATGGTAAGTACTGGATGTGTAGACTCCTCCTTAATAGATTTATGCTGTTTTGAACACTTGAGAGGTTCCAGCTGTTTAGAAGCTCCGTTTAAAAATCCACTTTCTACAGGAGCATAGTTATGATCTATACTTATTCATAACAAATGTTGACATACATGAATTGCTGATGTGTTTTTACTTTGAAGATACCTTCAGTATGATGTCATTTTGCTTGGTATATAGCAGGGGCGCCCAGTATTTTTCGTCTGGAAATCTACTTTTCAAATTACGAGCGCATTGAGATCTACCAACGTAGTTATTTACAAACACTGGAGTGATCAGCCGATCGCTCCAGTGTTTGTCCTGCACAGGGGATTGGTACATACTACTGACATGTACCGATCCTCTGCCACTCGGCCACGCACAAATGGGCTCTGCTTCTCCTCTGCATCCCCCCTGCTCTCCCGGGCAGAGGCAGCTGGGGATCCGACGAGAAGTGAAAGAGCACTTCAGCCGTTTGGGGTTGTCGGAGCCGCTGTGACAGAACGGACGAGCAGTGACTGGAGAGAGAGGCGCCGGCTGTCAGATCCTGGCCGAGCGTCTCTCTCTCCTCACCGCTCTGCATTAGTTGTGTGACAGCTGCTCCGTCCTCCGCCCTCCCCCGCCGCCGGTTCCTTCACTTTTTCTCGGATCCCCGCTGGGGAGATCCAGAGAAGCGGCGGGAGGAGAGGACATGGCGATCTACCAGTGATCGCTACGCAATCGACTGGTAGATCGCGATCGACCTTGTGGGCACCCCTGGTATATAGTATTGCTTGGGCTAATGATGACAGCTTCAGTGAAGAGACTGACAGTAATAATAATCAACTGATGATGCTTTATGGACAGTGGTCAAATGCAAAGCAGTGTTTCCCTATACTTTGTCATAAAAGCTGCCTCCTTTGTCTTTATTAGTATTGTGGGAAACATGCTCAGGCACCATCTGCAGATGCGGTCTGTGGCTGCGCTAGAAATTCACAACTTGTGAGCTTTAATGCAAACCTCATTGAAGTCTCTTCATTTTCAAAGCTAATAGGCAAGGGATTGTCTAACAAAGGAAGTGGGGAGTCTGGCCATGTCCTGGGCGACATATACCAATGCAAAATAATGGAATAAATACAAGCAATACTGTTCAGCAGGGAGATGCCACCCCCATTTAATGTGACTTTAAGGGTGACATGGGATAAACACAAGTTATTTAAATTACATGCTGCAGAGATTGTTTTAACCTATATGTGATGTTGTAGAATATTCCAGTTCTTGGGAACCATGTCAGTGACACTGTATCCTGGCATCACATCATTTGTATGTGTAATACATTTTTTACGTTTTGCATTATTCCTTGACTTACATAAAGCTAATGTTACCTTAAATTTTTTTTTTTAACAAGCCGTTATACTCACAATAGTGTTTGAAGTAGTGGACAGAACAGCTATTGGAAAGTTTAAAATACAGTTTGATCCCTCAGATTCATAAAAGTTGCCACATAGTAGCAAAACTTGTAGTATAGCATAGCTGGTGAACTTCATTTAGGGCAGTACCGCACTCTATTGTCTACAAAGTTTAACCTCCCTGGCGGTATTCCCGAGTCTGGCTCGGGGTTAATTTTCCATACCAGGAGCGGTAACCCCGAGCCAGACTCGGGACTGCAGAGAAAAGTGACATTCACCTTGTTTATATTATAATTTTTTTATTTCGTGTTTCAAACTTTATCATTCCTGGGATGTCTACTGGACTCTTGTTTGGACAGATTTAGGTGAGTTATTCCTAAGATTTACTAAGAATTGCAGGCCTACAATACATAACACCAAATTTCCATGCAAAAAATTGTACCGCTTTTGGTACAAAATTCCTGACATAATCATACCGCCAGGGAGGTTAATAAAATGTCCAGATTGCACAAAAACACTTCAAAACCACAACACTGCATCCCAGAAACAATGAGTTGTTCTGAATAAATAAAAATTACTATTCAGAGACAATAGTTAGACATATAGCATAATGGCTGGAGAGTATGAAAGCAGCTTGATTGGGGAACAGTGTAAAAGGGAGAGATGAGGCGTTTAAAAAATAAAACAAAAAAACCTCAAAGAAAAATGGACAGCTCATTATGTTAGACCCAGCTTTTGAAGAGGGAGAGATGAAGCACCTTTGATCCAGAAATGGATGGCAAGCCAGCAGCAGTGGCAGGAGATGGTAATGAACACAGACCAGCAGCAGTTGGCAAGAGACGATAATGGATGGCAGGCCAGCAGTTTGTAGATGGTAATGCTGTATGTTATATTCGTGGTTTGGGGGCCAGATTCTAAGAAAAAAATGTCACAGCGACAAAATTGGTCACATCAGCTGCAGCGGTATGATACTCAACGCTGTTCCAGGACTGGTTTATTTTTATAAAGGTGTGCTAGTCAACTGTATCGGGGGACAAGCAGATTTTTTTTTCTGTCATACCCGCTGCATTAAATGCCCATTCTAAACAAACTGGCCGCAGGGCAGGTCACTAGCTCGATTGCATGCTGGACAAGCTCGAGCCACTGGTCTATCCTTGACACCCAGTAGTCAAGTGGGTCATCCATTGTCAGGGTGTCAACATCCACTCTTGAAATGTTAAGGTTCTTGTTGCACTCCTTACCGGAAATCCCAGATAATGGGGAGGGTGCTTGAAATTACTGCGGATGGCACCGCTGTATGCATAGAATCATTGTAAAGAATATCACCAGCACTCTATTCTATTAGGATATTTCGGAGTGCTGGTGGTATTCTTTACAATTATTCTACACATCCACTCTTGACCCCATATAATCATTGATCATATGTGTTATGCACTGCCTGTGACTGCTGTCAGCAGCCAGATCTTGGCAATGCATCGTGAAGAAGGACCTAAACACTTAAGTGGCCACCCCCAATGCTGCTACTCCTTTCATCATCATGAGTATTGGAGGCATGTAGGCCATGAAGGGCGATCCTGTCACCCTCTGACACAAATTTCTGGAGGCAAAGGAACCTGGGTCCTGGATGTCAGAGGGCAACAATGTCCTCTACCACCTCACGCCACGCGCACAACTCTCAATGTTTAGGAGGGGTGACGTACCCCCTAGAAGCCCGCCTCATGTCCTTCTCCCTCCTCCTTGCTACTTGCCACCCCAGCTCTCCTCCTCATGCTCCTCCACTGATTGATGCTGCTTCACAGGGAAGGGATAAAGCAGACAAGACAGCAAGAAATTATCCTCTTCCTCCTGCCGTTGTGCCTGTCATGCCCAACCTAATACACCACTCAGTGCGTGCTCCAGCAGGAACACAAGAGACATCCTGTTGGTGATCGCCATCTCATCACCGCTCAAAATGCTTTTTTCCTCTTTAAATGATGACAACTAGGATCAACCTATAATCGGATCTACCGATAATCGGTCCGATATTCCCACATTTTAAAATTATCTGTATCGGTTAAATGTATCAATATTACCGATAATACAATGTCTGATGATGTATATTTCTTCTTCTGCTCCTGCAGCTGAGGAAGAGACACCTGCCTGCTAACGAGAGGGCAGGGTGTGGTTTATAGTCTTTGCGTTTGAAGCCTGGCTGCATGCTAACCCACTTGATGTGCCATAAGCTTTTCCTCTCAAAGCCCTTGTCAGACTCCCATGCCTAACACTTGAGACCACAGTTGTTGCAGTGGCTGAAGATAGAGATTTCTGTGGACTGGTGGAACAGGTGGAAAGATAGGGTGGGAAGGAAGAGGATTGCAGGCTTTTGGCTTCCGCCCAGTAGCATTGACATGCTGCTCCCACCATCTGTGTGGTGATCAGCCATGTGTCTCCTTGTACAGGTGGTACTAAAATTACTGGTAGATTTACGACCCCTAATACACATGTATGAAACAAGGCCCAGACTTCTAAGCAGACCTAGGGATTTCAATAGCCTACTCTGTGGAGCTGGGCCCTCTGGTAGAATAGGGCAGTGTCAGAGACTGGAGCACCTCCAGATGACACTGTGGAGCTGGAACCTGTTCCTGCAGTTTCAGTGCTCACCTGCAGGTGTCTCCCAGCAATTAGTCACCACCTGGTGCTGATCTGGGAGGGTATTTAACCTTTCCCTGCACTGAGGCCTGTACCTCAATATTGTCGCCATATTCTGTTTCCATACCCTGTTCCCTGTACTTGCCTTGAACCCTGACTTGGACCTGTCTCCTGACCCTTACCCCTGAGGTCTCCTGATCAGTGGCTCCCCTCTTGTTCTGCTCCCCAGGGTTTGCCCTGTTGTCTCCAGGTGTAATTGTTACTTTTATTTTTATGTTACTTGCGGGTGGTGTTTTATGGTTGTGATGTTTTGGTGCAGCTAAAAAATAACCGTTCATATGCATTGTTTGGTGTGGTCATGTAATTGGTTCTCTTGTATAGATACCTGCATGCGGTGTGGGGACAATCATGCACGGTATCGTGACAGGCTGCTTGTCCCTCCACACCTCTTTAAGCTGCCCCTGCATGACATCCTGCCTCGCTGACGCTGCGCTTCTCCTTCACTTTCCTTAACATTCATATGCAACCAGGTGTGGTCTGCCACCTCATCATCCCCAACCTCCTCATCACTGTAGCTCTCTTGGCAGGTAGCTGCTGCTGCAGGAACCTTACTGGCAAGTTATTCTTCCTCTTTGTTGTCCCCTCCCTCTGTGTAACATTTGCTTTCTTCCTCAACATCCGATGAAAATAATTTGTGTGCATTCTCCTGAAGCAATTCACTAAATCTTTGCTGAAACATTTCTGCCATGCCAGTTTGTGGGGCTACAATGGAATTTAATTAAATGCCCCAGAACACAATAAAATACCCATTTTTTTAATGAATATAAAAGATGAGGTTACAACGAGTAAAACGATATCCAACATGCCCAGTTTACAAATTGCGGGCGTCCGTGAAACAGCGAATAACTGCAGTACCCCAAAAAAGTCCATAGAAGACGCTTTAAAAGCCCCCACAGGTCATTAATT